TCTGTTGGAAACAAGTGAAGTAAATTCAAGGGAAATATATTCCGTAAATCATTCTGAGTGAAATATTGAACTTAGAAAATTGAAAATCAGAGCTATCTTGTATTAGCCACAAAAACTTATTTTACACATACACAATGACCACGTATGAATATGGACGTACTTTTCGGATTCCTCTATTTGATTCATCTTTTAGGCCGAAATTTAAAAAATCTTTGGTATTGTATTAAAAACTCCAAAACGGCTATTGTTTATCAGGACAGTAATAAGCCAAAATGAATAGATCACTTTCAAAATTTTTGATTTGAAGGTAACAGGTAAATTGATGGTAAGAGCAAAAACTTGATCACTTGACGAAAAACACTGAGCCTCCAGCATGTTACCAAAGGTGTGTAGAATAAACAGCATAAACATTTTAATGAGAAAAGTTTATTAATAAATAATTAGGTGATACAGCACCAGTTACAGCAAAACCAGATGCTGTGGAGAGCGTGGTGTCACCAGGCACTGGACGTTCTCTTGCATCTGAAGTGTTGGAAAAAGCAAGAACGCGTTTTGACAAATTCTGGGGAAAGGATTCCAAAGACGACGATGTTTAAGCAACTAGCGACTAGATTCAAGCCCATTATTTTTTATAATAAGTTTTATTAGATAGGCATTGAATTTACTAAACCGTAAACGGTTTACGTTAATATATTCTTGACTGGTATTTCTGGGCCCCTTGGGTTAAACTAAATAAATTTGAAATGTTATAACATAATCATGTTTTTATGAAGGTATAAATTGTAATCAGAATGTATTTATACTGTGCTGGTCGGAAAGTTGGGTGACTACGACATTCGAATTGAAATTGTTCACACATTATATTTAATTGGAAGATTTTATTAAACAATATAATTATTAAAAATATATACCCCATATTTATATACTATATGTAAGGCATTTAAATTAGGATGTATTGTCCTCTCCCTTATTTAACATTCATCAATATGAAAAATTCACTTTTTTATATACTTTTATTTATTAACAAAATTTTTAATTTTATTTATTAATTATTAGACTTTTATTTTCAAACAAAATATCATCCTTTGCCGGTAAACGACATGCCAAATTGGCACAGTATAAATTATAATAAATCTGGAACAGCTATACCATCACTGATCGTAGTTTGATGCGCAAAAATTATATTTATATATATAAATTAAATTATTCCATTATTTTGATAACGTTCGATAACAGGGTTAATGAATAATTATATTTTATTAGATAAAATATTATTACGAATTAAAAAACAAATATATTGTAACCACGTAATACAAAATCAATATTAGTATTGTAAAAGTAAATCTTGCTGTTTTGTGTGAGCGACTTTGTGTAATATCCTAATTTCTTAAAAAAAAAATCGCACTCAATTACCGATGGGGCCCCATTTGCACATATGTTTATGCAGACTTTAATGTCAGGCAAAATACAATACAATGGTTATTTTCTAACTTCTCCACAATTACTGTCATCATTGGAATGCCTTTATTAGTAATATAGCTAGTTATAATAATAAAAAATAATTATTATTACAAAATCAATAGATAATAAGTTTGTAACACCCAGTATCCACTTCATAGAAATCCAGTAGATAGAAATTTTGTAGATAATGTTTATAATTAATAACCTATGCAGCTAGGAAAATATTCAGTTCCAAAGGCCTAGGTGGAGTGCGTGCAGAAGTATGTGGGGCTCATCCAGTGTCAGTTCATATGCGATAATAATAGTAGTTATTTGGACTTTTTCGAATGGTAAAAGTTCTGATGGTATATCCTAGTTAACCCTTTCGTTACCGGAGAGATACTGCTGTACGGGCCAGCAAACCGTTCAGTAGCGCTACTGAACGAATCAGGCACATCAACATATTTTGAGATTTATCAATCATTTATATTTAGAAATTAAAAATTGCGCTTCTGAAGAATTACAATAACAAATTAGAATTCTCAATCATATCACTCGGAGTGATATATCGCGATGCAAGGGTTGACCATCATAATCTTGGATGTCGCCCATAAGCGACGCTCGTCGCGACAGGGTTAAGACAATGAAGAACGTTAACTTTTGATAAACATTTATATCCAGATTATTGATAAACGAGATAAATTATCAGAAATTTTATTATTAGGAAATAACCAATGTAAGGAGTTCATACCAGTTCATTCTAAATGATTTTGTTTATATGAATTTGTGTACATTTACAATGCACATTTTATCCAAGATAACTTTAAAGTTTCCGTAGCATACGCCAAAATTAATTCGAACCAACATAGTTAAATGCTATAAATAGAAAAATTAAATTTTTCTAAGCATTTTTGTTTTTGAAAAGGAAATTATTTCAATGTTTATTAATTAAAACTCTTGTTAAATTATACTCATCAAATCAGGTTAAAATGCATTAGAACTATACGAAAATACTTCGTCTTAAATAAAAATAGTCCAAATATAATAAATTACAATAAATTTGTTTTAAAAAAATAACGCAATAAAAGTTCATATATCATATGAAACAATTAAAATTGCACAAAGCTGTATACACGAAGATGTTGCAAGTTTTTCCTTATTAGAAAAATCGCATAAATTGAAATATAAATTAAAAGCAAATACATTGCTAAAAGTTCAACAATCAACATTTATAATCAATAGTCAATATTTCTGACACGTTTAACGCAACCGTAGATTCGTATGACGAAGTGAACTTAACTTTGTGAGTGAAATTTTTAAATCGTATACATTTTTCTTAATTGCATTTTAGCACAGATCGCCAATTTATTACTGCCAACCAGTCTTATCAGTATAAAATTGATAATTCAAATTAAATATCCATTTATGATAAGTTGTCAACACACATATACCAAATAGCATTGTGTAAGCGAATATTATATTAGTATAAGTAAATTTATATGAAATATTTATATTATTAGCATTACAAATTTATCATTATTAAATTTTAAATACATAAAATAATTTATTTAAATTACAAATTATCTTTTATTGGCTGCGATTTTTAAGCTGAATATTTATTTACAAGCAGACTAAATAGCTAGATTTTTAAAATAGTTGAAATATTTAATAATATTTATTACGAATATGTAGATTATATGTTTAATAAATATATTGATGCTTGTATTTAATAATTTATATATATATATATATATATATATATATATATATGTATATATTTCAAAAATTATGGTATATTATACACTAAAACGATGTTAATCATTAATTTGATAGAAAATTGTTAAAAATTGCTGGCATTTGCAACTCATATTACAATAAAAAGTATCACAATAAATCATCAAGAAGTATGTTATAAAATAAATTGTTTAAATAATATATTAAGAAATAAACTCATTTCTAACATTCTGCTTAATTTTTGTAAACCACTATAGTGGTTTGTTATGAATATATTCATATTACCAATTTACATATTTCTGTATTTTTCAATGTAATCACATAAAGTACCATCATAATATTTATTAACATTTGCAAAATTTGTTTTTACTTGTAAAATATTATAGTGTATTATAACAATAGGCCATTGCTATTTTATAATAAACGTATAAATGGATATTATATACATTAACGTTTTAGTAATTATAAATTTTTAATGAAAAATAGGAGAGACTTGTAGTAAGATGAGGATTTGCAATATAACAATATAAAAATTCAGTTAATTGGTCATTTATACAACAAATGAATAATGCTATGTAGTTCTAAATATGACAACTGAAAAATGACGTTAATATTTAAAATTCTTATCCAAGATCAGTCAAATTTAAAGTTATGTTAAGATAAATTGGGTTTGAGTTGCAAATAAACCCGATCACGTATATCATGCTGTAAGCATGTCAACGAAGATACAATTTCTTCTGAAACTTCTGGCTATGGTTTATAACATAAACCAGCTGATCAGTAAATCAAATGTCCGTATTATACAATTATTTTTGCAATTCTTAGCAATACAAGAGAGCAAGAAATGTGCACATTGGTTCTATTAATAAAAATGCTGAAGTATTTACCAAGTTATAATTTATGTGTTGTATATATCTTATATTTCTTGTAAAGTTATGTGCAATATTAACATAGGTGGTGCACCAAATGTCCAATAACATAACACAATATAAAAACAAAATCTGGAAAAGAGTAATCTGTACCGTAATTTGAACTTATTCCTTCCAAATACCCCACAACTTTTATACAAAAGATCGAACTATTTAATAAGAAGTACACAATAAGCCATAATATTTAAGATCTCAATTTTACATGAAATATATGATATTCACTTTGCCGCAAATGTTTGTTATTTACTGTTAAATATAATCTGTACTAAAAAGATAAACTTGTATTATTTAAGAAAAAATTGTTTATTTTAATGTGCATTTGGATATCGGAGAATCATGAACACATTCATCCAAAACTAAAAATTAGAGAATCATCAATTCAGTAATTTTAAGTCTTGTAGTTAGTGCTTTTGCATTCCTTCTAATTTCACTTTAGTAAGTTGAAAACAAAAACAGTACAAAGACAATATTTATGCTTTGCACACAAAAAGAATGCGCTTATAACTTGTGTTTAAAAAGTTATAATTCTTGAAACATTTTATAAAAAAAATATTAGCCGTGAGTACTCAAAAATAAAAAACCTATTCAAAAACAAAACACCATCACCCAAAAAAAAAAACAAAAAAAAGTTGCTCCCACATAATGTAATAATAGCATTTGAAATCATTTTTAGATAATAATGCTTTAAATCAGAGCTATAATAATTTAAATTCATCATAATTGGTTTGGGCATTTATCATTCACAAACTGTCATTTACTGAAAATTGTGGCACATACAAAATTATATGAAATTTAAAATATATACATAATGTATACATGATAAAAATGAACTAAATTTATAAGATAAAAATGAACTAAACTGGTAATGAAAATGCAGTGACAATTATAAACCTTATTCAATGTATAAATAATTTAGTGATAATATTTCTAGGTAGTCATTTTTTGCAGATCTCAACACTTTCATATAAAATAAAACTTTTAAAGCATTATACATTTCCTTTGACGTCTTTTCTGAGGCTCTGGTCTGAGGACGGCTCTAACAGCCTCATCAAAGACTTGTTTCAAACCTCTTTGTGTGAGAGCTGAACATTCCATATATTTTACAGCACGAACCTTATTAGCTAATTTTTGGCCTTGTTCACGTTTCATAGGTGATAAATTTTGTTCTGCTAGAGAACTTAAGGTTTCTCTATCGTCTCTTAAATCTATTTTGGTACCTAAAAACCATTTGAATGAATTCCAATAAAATTTAATTTATTAATTTAAATTATTTTTTAAATAATTTAAATTATTTCATTTGAGTACTTACCAACAAGTATTATAGGTGCATCAGGGCAGTGATGTTTTATTTCAGGATACCACTTTGAAGTGACATTTTCAAAAGATGACGGACTACAAATTTATGCACTTTTAAATGTGAAATTAAATATTTCAAGTTTAATTCTAACACTAACAATAAGCAAAAGGTGTAATAAATTATTCAAATGCTGGGTCAAGAATGAACATATTTCTTTGTCACACAGGGGATTAAAAACAAGTAAAATTAAATAACTAAAAATAAATTTGGTTAATCAAGCATACCTTGCAACACTAAAACATATGAGAAATACATCAGTTTGGGGATAAGACAGCGGCCTTAATCGATCATAATCTTCTTGTCCAGCCGTATCCCAAAGCCCCAATGAAACAGGGATTCCATCAACAACCATAGGTGCTGAATAATTGTCAAAACTAAAATGTTTAAAAACCACAAATGTAACTAAATGCATTTTTCATATTAACATGTCAATCAAGTTTGAACCTATGTCAGGATTATTAAATAGAATAGCAAAGGTTTTTATTACGATAATATAACGTTTATCATATAGATATTTCAACTATTATTTTAAAGCTACAGGAATAGTAATACTCACACTGTAGGGACATATTCTCCTGGGAAACTATCAGTTGTGTATGATATTAACATGCATGTCTTTCCCACTGTTCCGTCGCCGACGACAACACATTTTATAGGTCTACCTGAAGACATCTGAAAAAAATTGTGAATATATTATATTCGCATAAAATTGAGAAGTGTTTGACAGCTGAACATGGCAAACACAAAATAAATCATCACAATTCTTCGGTAATACGTACTATGAATTTAATGAGTTGATGTCCGAAAATACTAAAACACTACAACAATTTTTTTTCTACTAATTCATTATATGGTATATGGTACTAATAAAATTGAAACAACGTTCTCTCATTATTAAATTGCACTGATACTCATCATATATACTTCTGTTCTGCTGGGCATAAACACCTATAAACACCGTAAAGCACCCAACAAACTTCACTCTATTTCAACTGTCAACAAAATAAAAGTCTTTTATTAGGACGCGGGCGCATGAAACCATAGAGTAGTCAAAATGTCTCGATTCATAAATAAATAAGGCCCATATATAAATAAGTATTAGGCCTTTATGCAAAATGTAATCATAGATAAATGAAGTAATCGATAAAAAATTGTAACATTTTCTTTACAGACTCACTTCTAGTGAATAGTCACAAAACACACACTGATTTCGAATGATTACGTTGGTAGCGTGTTGTGTTGTGACTAACGTTTGATCCATTATGTTTATTTATCTATGATTGAAAAAACGGTTTCACCAATTTTAAAAATTCAAAAGCCGTTTGATAAATTCGTTATGGAAAGCTTTGCGAGAGAGTATCGGATAGTAAAATTCTGGTACCTTTTTAAAATTCCTCTCAAATGTAATGTAGCAAAAGTATCAGTAGGATATTTTAAAGCATTCTGCTATAATATTTATATTTGTCCAAATATTAAATTTCTTTCTAGTTGTGCAAGAATTGATACAAACAGGAATGAAGAAGTTACGACTTTGAAATTTCATGACAATAGAGAGAACCTGAACCTGAAATGAATTAAGAAGCTAAATTGTCGAATTCGAAGGACCCAGATATAGTTCGAGTTTTATGAAAATACTGGTATTTACTGTTCTTTTCACAAAGGTTTAAAATTCAATTAGTTGTCTCTCTATGAGAACTACTTAAACTAAATATTTTAGCCACAAAAGCAAGCATGCGATTAAGAATAAAATTTTGAATTCTACTTTTAATTTTGGCAGCGTATTCCTAATTTTACTCGAAAAGGATGCAAAGTTTTATTAGTGGAAACCTTTTACAATTTGTCATTTATTAGTGTCAAAGATGAAATATCATGAACTAATAAATATGCAAATACTACTATGATTATCTTATAAAGATTAAATTTATGGGTTTATTGGCAGTGATAGAGTTTTTACAATTTAGTAATTTAGTTTAGTACAATTTAGTAATAAAAGAATCTATGATATATTAAAAGGGGTTTAGTTCAAAAACTATTTTTAGTAAAAAGTAGTTCCAATGAAATCTCAAAGTCCAATTTGATAACTTCACTTTATCGTAATTTTGACCTTCATAGGTATGTTTTCATATATACATAATTTTGAACTTTTGTGATTGTAATCTTAAAATATTTTTCTCCAAATACATTTAATCCATTTGACATTGATATATATCGGTACAGTTGTTAAATCAAGAAAATACAGTTGATGACTTACATTTACTAACACTATTGCTATTGAATACTCAGTCCTTGTATTTAGCTAATTTCACATGTTATACATTGTAATTTTTTCAATGATTTTTATAACAAACATCATAGCTTGATATTTCAATCACACATACAATAACTAGTGTAATTGTATTAATGTAGGTTAATGTAATATTTGCAAGTTTTATTCTTGCAGAAATATATAAATTGCCATCAATAAAGCATTTATAACTGATGTTATTTATTTGTCTGATGTGATTGTTAATTTAACAATTCTACATAATATATATGCATGTGTGTACCAGTAATAGTAAATTGATTACTTTTACTATTTCCGAAAATACTTATTTTATTCGACAGTAAGTTTTTGTATTTTTTATTCTTTTAATGTTGAACAATGAAAAATTCTTTCAATTAAATAAAACAGCGCCAGACTAGTAATTATTCTACACAAGAAATACATTTGTGCAATAACTCAATTTTCATTGTGGTAGAATTGTTCTGACCAAAATAAATATATTTTATAACAACTTATGATTAGTGACTATTAAGAGAACATTATCGAAACTGGTCCATGAAGGTATTAATATCTCAAATAATCTCAGTAATTAAGTAATACACATTGGTAGTTAGCAAATTTGTGAATTAATTCACTTTTGAATATAGCTAATGTAATCATATTTTTATGTACAAGGTAAGGCTTCAAAGTTTTCGTTTTTTTTTACGAAGATCCTAGCACGAATGTAATAATATAAGTAGTAGTCTTAAATTCTTACAGTATTACTTTGTAAAAGATTTGTGCAAGTACCTTAATAATAATTTTCGACAAGTATTCCTTGATGATATTACATATATGTATATATTATATATAAAAAGTATAAACGTACAATTTATTTATGTACTACATAATTTTCAGAAGTCGTATCGTATTATTTTAATTGATGTAAACCATTAAAGCAGCATCAAAATCATTGATATGGTAAATTACTTTAAACTTATTTCGTAATCAGCACTAAGGTAAAAATGCACGTTTTTATGTAATAGATTTGTAAAATATCTTATAAAACCATTTTTATAAATAGGAGAAATGCTCAATATATGTATATAATTATATATATATATATATATATATATATATATATATATATATATATATATATACAGTGGCGTCGGAACCGCGTGGGGTGTGTGGGCTTGAACCCACCCATCAACTTCAAAAAATGATATAGGCTAATACCTAAAAAAAAAAAAAAACGAGACCACTGGCTGTCTATCTAAAAAAAAAACGAGCCCACCCATCAAAAATTTGGTTCCGACGCCCACCCATCAACTTCAAAAAATTATATTGGCTAATACTTCTAAAAAAAAAAAAAAACGAGACCACTGGCTGTCTATCTAAAAAAAAAACGAGCCCACCCATCAAAAATTTGGTTCCGACGCCACTGATATATATATATATATATTTATATATATATATATATATATATATATATATATATATATATATAAGGTTGCAACATCTTATATTAAGATAGCTTTTTCTCATAATCGTTTGTGCACAACACTAAACATTATCTAATAAAAATCAGTATACTGTAAGGTACGATGAAACAAATCATTGCAAAACAAACAATTATCTTAAGATATACATATTGAGATTCTCAAAATAAATAAATTAATGAAAGATTTTTGGTAAACAAAAAATGCATCACAACTACTTTTTCTTAATTATCTAATGAAATGAATTAAACATACAATTCAGGAAGCATCAAGGTTGAACAATCATTACAAATACATGGGTTACATATGGTGTTTGCTACATATACAGCCATGGATGCTGGAGACACTCAGAAGCCGTTGCACGTTCGTTGGGGTCGAATGCGAGCATGGGCAGAAGAAAGTCTGTAAACTTCTGTGCATCCTCAGGATCCCATTCATATTTCTCTGTGAGAACTTCGAATAAACTCCAGGGTTTCAGACGCGTTATGTTACGTAGCTCGCCTGTAAAAATATTATTATAGTATTACATGTTAGCAATATGTAAATATCACTGAAGCAATACAGAATATATATAAAGCAAAAGTAGTTGATTAAATGCACTATTCATTTACAAACTTCTTCACCTTGACTGTTAAAGAAGACGTGGGAATATTTCCCAGAGAATGCTATATGCCTAGGAATTATTCCCAACAATTCAACTATGTGCGCTACGTGATCTTCATCTTTAGTGAAATCTACGCCAGCATGTGGTTCGAATAGATAGTCACCAGTCGCAAGTTCAAAAGCCATGCAAGCTGTGCTCCAGATATCAGTCGAAGTATCATATCCGGCGCCCAAAATCACCTCTAAAGAACGGTATTGCCTTGTTTGTATATCTTCCGTAAAGTGATGACGCTACAAAATAAATAATTTTTATTACTTAGCTATTCTACGGAAGTAAAATTTATTATTAAGAAAACATTTTTTAGCTAAAATAAAAATAATAAACTGTAAGTCCCATAGAAGAATAAATTCCATAAAATCACATATTAAAATAAACTAGTAAAATTGAACCATGAATAGATTGTAATAGGCAGATTATTTTCTATTTACATATATTAATTTAAATATTATAAACTTACTGTCCAGCAAGCATTTCCCAAATCAGCAATCTTCACGCCGAGATTCTCGCCCAATGCAGTGGGATCCACTATCTTATTTTCAATTGATCTCATACGCTTCACGAGTTTACCATCTTTATCCATATGGTTGGCTTCCTCGTGCTGCATAGCCGTCGCTAAATTAGCAACTTCCGAACATAAATAATCGAATGATTGGTTAGACGTTTGTTTGTAATCTTCGGCAATGTCCTTTCTAACGTCTGCCAGCTCAGCCTTAATAGATGATGAAATATCCATCAACGGTTTCGTTTTCTTGTTTAATATGGCCTCGTTTTCTTCTTTTAGTTTTTCTAAGGTTTTCGTCAAAGCCGTCAAACTTGGGGATGGCACATAATTCTCTTCCATTTTGCAGATCGCGCTATCAAATTTCGCACAATTATTCTCGTCGGTGAATTTTGATATAGAGGTTAATATCGCCTCCACTTTAGGATCCATTTTAATTGGTGTCTCTTCGGTATGTTCACTCGATCGGAATATTGGGGTTTAGTAATATCTAATTGCATTCCCTTTTCGGGTTGCATAACTACCATATCGCCTTTGGCTTCAGCGTTCATTTCGGAATTAACATTAGGAGTACTAGATTCTGTACTGTACAGATTCGAAACATCCTCACCTTTTGATGGAATTGTCAGACTCGTTGATGTCTCCTCCGCGCTCAGTGCTACATCAGTGGAACTACTGATGTCTTCAAATGGAGTAGGAGTCACATTATCACTTTTTATGGGGCTATCAGAACTGTCTATGGTACGAAAATCGATGTCCATAGTGTCGCATTTCGATCTGAATTTATCTATAGATTCACTAGAATCCATCTCACAATTGGGAGACTTTGACTTCTTATAAAGTGGCTCCATACTGACTGTAATTCAAATAAAATTTCAATACGTTGTTAGTTAATTCTAAACGGCTCAAAAATCCAAAAACTTAAAAAATATTTTTTGCTAACAAAATATGAAAAATGAAAATTAAACAATGTTCAACACAATAAAATGTATTTTGTCGTAAGGATACTGATAGGAGTAATACTTCAAAGGTATTAATACTCACCAAATGAC